CCTGCAAGCGGAGAGACTGTGTCCAGGATTTGGAGTTGTGACCTCTTGGCCACTAAGCAGCAAACTTAACATTAGACCGAGACTCACCCAGAATGTGCACTCAACTTTCTGCTATAATCTAGCCTACATAATCAAAAAGACATTTTACATCCCTCCTCTCAACAACAACAATAACCTATCTTTTTCTCACTTGTTGGGGTTGGCTACATTTACCAAATGATGTCATAATGTTCCACCGCCAATCATGTTTGTAGACAAACCATTGATTTCTAAATCCGTTTTAATGGTTTCACATATTATTTTCTCTTAATCTTCTTCTACTTCTAGTGTTTGGATTATCCTCCATCTAATCTATTCTCCTTACTGGGCTTCTACAAGACTTAGGCTTCTACGGGCTGCTTTCTCTATACTAAAAATAGCCAATAGCTCATTATGTTGCAGTAGTGTATTTTAGATGTTCATATATTGCATTAAGAAACACGGGCCATCGCATGAAACTCTCACCCGGTGGGGTATGAGAAGGTAGTCGTTTATATATTGTATTGTAAGAAGAAAAAAAGTTGATGGTTTAAGCTCTTTCCAAGCTTCTGTCGTGCCCTGTTTATCTCCTTTATTTCATTGGTGTTAATTTGACTATATATTCCTGCATAGGTACCAGAAAAAGTCAGCAAGGTTGATCCAAGAAGTCACAGCTTCTGCCAATGAAGTAGAATAAGACGCCTAATGCTATTACTTGTTCTGTATTTTTATAAATGCCACTGTAATAACGATTTTCTCACTAACTAATCATAGGTGGCTCAGGAGACATTCTCTCTCATTAGAACTGTCCGTGTTTATGGAACAGAAGAAGAAGAACTTGGAAGGTGAGAATGCTATTATGGTCATATTGTATTTATGTACTCATCCATTCCTATTGTTCTGATGTTTTCACATGTGTCTTGTCTATCTCTATCTATAGGTACAAATCGTGGCTGGGGAAATTAGCTAACATAAGCTTGCGACAAAGTGCTGCATATGGATTTTGGAATTTAAGCTTCAACACTCTTTATCATTCAACTCAGGTACAGCTAAATGTTTCCAAAATCGTGAAATTTATCTTCTTTTTTTCATTTCCCTTCCCCCCTTTAAACTGCAATCTCTCTGTTAGAAGAATGTTTGCTAGGATTAATAGTAAATATTTTATTTATTAAATTCCAGTTAAACCTTTGTACTTGACTTCTGTTTGAACATTTAATCCTATAGGTTATTGCTGTGCTGTTTGGAGGAATTTCTATTCTTGCGGGTCATATTACAGCAGAGAAACTTACTAAGTTTATACTATACAGTGAATTGCTAATTTTTTCAACCTGGTGGGTGGGAGACAATATCTCCAATTTGATGCAATCTGTTGGGGCTAGTGAAAAAGTATTCCATTTGATGGATCTCGCATCTAGCAGCCAATTCATAGCTAAAGGCAAGTATTTTTATGAGCTATGTTTCAACTATTTCAATGAGTGAACAACTTCTTATTAATTTAGTACATTGTGGTTAACAGTATAACATTTAGTTTGCAACTTCCTCGCATCCATTCTCACTTCTCTACCAATAGGCAATAATATTAGATAATTGAGTGGAAAAACAAGCTCATGGTAGAAAATTGAAATAATGTATTCTTGCATAACCTTCTTCATTGTTTTAATTATACATATTTTGAACATTGGGTGTAACTTTATTACAGGAGTAAAGTTGCAGAGCTTAACAGGGCAAATTGAGTTTCTAAACATATCTTTTCACTATCCTTCAAGGCCAACGGTAGATCTCTATTGCTAACATCTCATTTGACTCCTAGATTTTAAACTTGCATATTTGATGCTCCTTTTGCTCTCCAGTTACTCAAGTAAAGGATAAATTGTGCTACAATAGAAATAAAAAGTTCAATGCTGAAATTTTTTAATGCACTCCCCTCCCCTCAAAAAACGTGGGTTCATACATCAAGAGTGTATGCTGTTGACAGATAATCAGTGGAGATATAGTATGCTATTATCATCTTTCTAGGAAAATGGATGTTTAATATTAACGTTGATTAAAAAAAAAAACATTTTCTTCTTCTTTTGGGTTGTGAGAAGAGTTTTTGGATCAGTCTATAAGGATTTATCTAATGCTTCTTCATTATAACACTGTGCATGTAGCTTCATTCTTCAGTACAAATGAGATTTCTTAAGTCAGTGGAATGGTTTATATTCTGGGTATTACGTTGACTTCTGAATTCTTCTGGCGCCCTTCTCTTTCTCTTTTTGCATGGATTTTTTAACCAGATACATTCAGTTTTATTGTCCATCTACATGAGGTTAAGATTATCATTGTCAGTCATACAAGCTCAATTAATGATAGGGCACTGTAACAGGTACCGGTAGTGCAGCTTGTAAACTTTGTGGTCCATCCCAGTGAGGTGGTTGCAATTGTAAGAAATTGCTTCTTGTCTCTTCAATTCATTCATTCCTTCCCTGTAATTTGGCTGAGATTATTATGTTGTTTCTTTTGATTTGGCATAGGTTGGTCTTAGTGGTAGTGGAAAAAGCACACTGGTAAACCTTTTGCTCCGTCTATACGAGCCTTCAAATGGTCAGGTAGAGTTTGGTTTTCAATTCTCATTAAAACTGACAGTGACTTTGATGTCAATGGGATATTTAACATGAATTAGCAGACTAACCTCTATAATTGGAACAAATGCAAAGAGATGGACTTATGTTTTTTTTCGTCCTTTGTAAGAAAAAGTGTATAGAAATGTCATGGTTTCTGATTCCAGCGTCTAAGGCCTTGGATTCAAAATTTACTTGTTAAGTTATTAAGTTTCTCTTCAATTCCTCATTTTATTACATTCACCACCTAAGAAACACTTTGGTCGACTATATTATGAAAATTTCTTGTCATAATTCTTAGCTTCGTTAGCATAAGTCACCATTTTTCTCAATCACATATATTGATTAGAGGCTTCTCTCAGAATTAGATATGAAATACCCGTAGCCAGATATGTTGGTAGTATTATTAGAGCAGATACTTTCAACTTGACTACTTTCCTAACATGAAGTTTTGTTGCAGATTTTGATAGACAAAATCCCTCTTAAAAATTTGGATGTCATCTGGTGGAGACAGAGGATTGGATATGTTGGACAGGTTCTTAAATTCCCAACTTTGACGAAATTTAGCGAATCACACATGACACATGCAAATGGCTATTTTCTCCTAACCTAAAAATTTGTTTGTTCAGGAACCAAAGCTGTTCCGGATGGATATTAGTTCAAACATCAGATATGGATGTGCTCGAGATGTAAAACAGGAGGATGTTGAATGGGCTGCAAAGCAGGCATATGCGCATGACTTCATCTCTGCACTTCCCAATGGTTATGAAACACTTGTTGATGATGATTTGTTAAGTGGGGGACAAAAGCAGCGAATTGCTATTGCTAGAGCCCTTCTTAGGGATCCGAAAATATTGATCCTTGATGAAGCCACCAGTGCACTAGATGCTGAGAGTGAACATAATGTCAAGGTCTGCTACTGTAAACTACTACAAGCAAGTTGCAGTTTTTTTGTGTCTTCAATAATTGCTCACACTACTTTGAGCACGGGTAGTAATTCGACATGGTTAGGGTCGAGATTCGGTACCCTGACATTTCTAGGATTCAAATCCGTGATATTGTAGGCAAAGTTTGCCTAGAGTCCAATATCGGGGTTCAAATCTTGGAAGTGGCTACAATGTGGAAAATTTTATCTAAACTACTTCCACCATAATCAACCATTGTTGGAAGTTTGACACAGTAAATTTTGAAGTAGGAAGTATTAAGAAATGGTATTTATGTTTCAGTTTCCTTTATATATGTGCAGGGTGTTCTTCGATCCGTGAGAAGTGACTCCCATTCAAGGAGAAGTGTTATAGTCATTGCACACAGGTAATACTTTGTGTTGTAAGTCATTTGAATGGTATCACAATTATTAGTTTTGAAGTTAAAATGTATGAACTGGTTTATACACAGGCTTTCTACCATACAAGCAGCTGACAGAATTGTTGTGATGGATGGTGGTCATGTTGTTGAGGTTGGTTTTTTGTTGATTCATTTTGAATGCCCTTAAATACTCTTATACATACTCCTTTTTGCAGCTTATTATCCCTGGTATTTTCATTAGATCTGTTTCCTTTTTTGGTAAATTGCACTTAGCTCCCTTGTGGTTTTGGCCTGAAAACACTTTATCCCCTTTGCTGAACTTTGACATTGTGTTTTATGTTGACTCCTACCCCCATTTTCTAATTTTTAAATCATTTTTGGTTAAAATGTGATAACTTTTATCCTTTCTTTACCATAACCTGAAACATTATTGTCATTAACTTGTGTTCTCACAGAATGGAAGTCACAGAGAACTTCTATTAAAAGATGGTTTATATGCAAGGTTGACCAGAAAACAGGCTGATGCCATGGCATGATTTTAGTTTTCCATAGCAGCAGATATTCTAAATGCACAATAGTGGGGCAATCAACTTTTTTACTTGCTAACCCATATATTTATAGATACAACAAAAATTGGTGAAGTTTTAGTCAAGGAAGAAATGTGCATTGGTTTAGCAGATTCAGTTCAAAAAAACCTCAGAAAGATTTCTTAGTATCAGGTTTTCATGCATATGCAGAAAAGCATGAAATCAGGTCCATGGGGCTTATTGATCTTCAAGTTGCTGATAAGTTACATTCTCTCATTCCAGTATTGAACACCTGGACCTTGCTTGAGTTATATCTCACTTTGTACTCAACTTGAAATGTATGTATAAATTCTTTTATATATAATTAATAAAAATAATAAATTGTTATTAAACCTGACTGCATTCAACCCAAAAAGGTTAAATATGTAAAAGTAAAACACCTTCAACGAGTGTGTATGAGTAACCATGCACAGATGGTACAAAGCATAATAATAATGAATTCTATTGAAAATTGTAGTGAAAAATTGGAATACCATAGTTTAACATTGTTTTATAACATTTTCCAATTGTAGTTCAGAACTTCAACATTATTTATGCTCATGTCTTGGAATTATTATGAGAAAAGCAATACAATATTTCAAACAGTTGTATGGTTATGCCACTTGAGAAATCTACAGACAAATAAAAATACAAATCATAAGAAATTCAACATGGTTTACACAATTACAAGTGGATACCATAGTTTATCACTTGCATTTCAAGAAACATCCTTGGAGTTTTGCACGAAAGCTGCAGAACATAGAACAGCAGCAATGACAGCCAAAAACCACAAACCAATCATCATGGACACCCCAGCAAACACCAAATCTAATACACCATTGAAGCTCAACTCCACCATCTTTTTCTTCTTCCCTTTCAGCTTAAGTCACTTGATGAGACTCAATCAAGATTTTTTGACAGATTCAAGGAGAAGACCAAGCAACTTACTTTAGTGCCATGGGTTCTTATAGAATCAGAAGATGAGGAGGATGAACACATGCATACATGTCAGAACCGCCAAATGTACCAGATTTTCTGGATTGTCGGTGGCGGTGGGAAAGAAAAGAAGCAGGAAGAGTTCAAAAAGGTTTTGGGAATGAAAAATATTCTGAAGTTGAGTGAAAGATGAAGCCATGCCCCATGTGGCAAGGTCTCAAGCTCCTTGTAGGATAACATGATTACACTACACTTCACTCTCGGTGTTGCTTTGTCCTCTCTATTTTAGTAACAACGCTGTTTTTTATTCCAAACTTCAAATTTGTTTTTTATTCCAAACTTCAAATTTGTATTGCAATAAAAAAATGCATTATCTCCTACTTAGTGAAGTAGGAGGATAGATATATACAGCTTTACACTACAAGTAAATTTGAACTAATGATTACTAAGTAACAATCTTACTACTGTGTTAAAGTTATTCTCTTCAAACTTGCATTGCAATCTTTAAAAAAAAAAGTAGGACCAAATAAAAATTGTTTTTTTCTTAGCAGTTGTATATATGCATGGCATCTTAATATTAATGGCTTACATGTATCTTTTTCCTATATAGGACTGATATGGCAGCATAACCTCACCTCTGTCTAATAGCTCTGTCCCATGATTGTGTTGATAATCGGTTATGGAACTAAGTTAAAGTTAGCTGCATGCATTTTGATAATGAACCTTGCACCTTTAATAAAATTGAAATTTCACATCCTTTGAGATGTAATCACATCCTACATAAGCACCCATTTTGGTAAATTTAAGAAACCAAAGAAGTTCCCAATAAGCATCATGTAAATAATAACTTCAGACACATTTTCTGTCTACCTGTCATCTAGTTCAGTTCTATATTTATTACTTACAAGAACATAAATGAAACCACGGTTAGACAAATTTAAAAGATTATTTCAACTTGTTCATGTACCCTTTGATTCATCTTCTCTATTACAGTATTACTGAAGAATGCAGAGAATATGGATTGAAACAAGACAAAAGCTTAGGTAAAATGCATGCTCATAAAATAGAAGACAAAAGCTTAGTGAAGATCCATGTGTAGAGTACGGATAGTATAGCACCAACTGGAATAGTGACTGCCCATGAAGCACAAATCTCCTTCACAGTTTCTGTTTTAACAGTGTTAAGCCCTCTTGCAAATCCTACACCCATTACTGCACCTACTAGAGTATGAGTTGCTGAGATGGGAAGCCCCAGATTTGAAGCAAACAAAACCACAGATGCTGCTGCAAACTCTGCAGCAAATCCTCTGGTTGGTGTTAGTTCTGTTATTTTCTTTCCGATTGTAGCTATCACTCTATAACCCCACATCATAAGCCCGGCTACGATTCCGAATCCTCCCCATGCAAGAACATCAGCTGGAATAACAACCTCAGCTCCTCCGGTAGTGCCTTGAAGAATAGATAATGCTCCAGCCAGAGGACCTATGGCATTGGAAACATCATTTCCACCATGAGCAAATGACATGAAGCATGCTGACATAACCTGCATGTATCCAAAGACTCCGTAAACTATTTCCAGTTGAGTACCCGTTGGACCTTCAATATCAGAAAGGAATCCCTGCTTTTTATTGACAGATTCCTCTTTCGACTCGGCTGGTGGAGTAGCAGGCTCAACAAGGAGATGGCCAAGCTGATTTCTGATGATTCTGTCAACTATAAAAGCACCACCAGTTCCAAGAGCGAAAGCCAGGACGAGTGCCAAAGGAATGCTTTTGTTAAGAGGGAAGGCAGCAAAAGAAATCCCAGTTACACCAACAAATACAGCAATTGGAGCTGCTGCAGCTGCTGCTTGTCCTGGATTTGGTGCACTGTACACAAACTGTATGGGAGAAAATATTAGCAAAGGATTCGACATATTATCTTGTCAACAATTTCGAGTTCGAAAATAGTCGGAATTTCTTTTCCAGAATGTTTTGCCATTGTTCTTAACCTTTGGATGGATGAGTTATTCCTACTGTGTATGTGACTTATCTTGGCAAATTATGGCAACAATTCTGGTAAATAATTATGGTTGTATATGATTAGGTTGTAGCCTTTTATTAGAAGCTTCTTTAATTTCCTAGTCATGATTACAGGGTTTTCATAAATGGTAGAAGCACAAGTCACAAACCACCAATATTAAGGTCTATAATTATGTGCTATTGTGTTTGAATTGTTTACCAGAATTGTTTTTCCTAGACTGCTATTGAACGCAACTCAGCAAAAGTAAATCATTTAAATATATGTGATGTATATCAATAATGTGTTGGGTCAAGTCCAAAATAGCAACTGCATACCCTCCTTATGCATTTATAGACAAGAAATGATGCAGCTGCTCCAATAAATGGTGAGAAAACCCATGAAGAAACCACCCTAGCTAGTGAACCCCAGAAAACTGCTCCAGCTCCTCCATAGACTAGGCCAAATCCTACAATTGCTCCAACAATACAATGAGTGGTAGAAACTGGCCAACCATAATATGATGCAACCTGCATACAACAAAATAATGAATAGCATTTTTGTTGGATTGTTTGCATATATAACAAAAATAATTCCTTTTTACATTGCTGCCACAGTGCCACATATTGCTTCAAAGCATTATGTTTTCATGCACCTCAATCATTTAAAAGAGAAACATGGTCTTTGAATGAAATATGAAGAAAACTTAGTTTCTAAAAGCATTTTCAAGAAGACATCTCAGATAAGTTGAAGGAGAAACGAAAAGATCTAAGAAACTAGTTAGTGACATGAATGACGTCTAAAAAGATGCATAGATTAATGGCCCGTTTGTGAGTTGGGTTTTGGAGGGAAGGGAAGGGAAAATAAAGGTTTTAGAGCCACGGAATACACTTGTGAGATATCTATAAAGCCTTCCATTTCTCTTCATTCCACTCCAAACCCCACCTAACATACGGACCATAAGAATGGGTACACTAATCTCTCAAAATTCAATATTATAGCACTTATAAGTTCTAATGGAAAAAGGAGAAAAGAAAATATAGTCTCATACGAAGTTATGAATGTTACCTTCTGTCAAATTCTAACTCGTAAGAAATAGTGTCATACCAAGAGTTTTTTTAAATACCATTTATATGCTCACCTTTGGAATGATTGACCAAACCAAACACCAAAACAAGCATCTAAGACTCTAAGAGTGAACACTAAAAAACATCACATTGCATTATATTGTGTACATCGATTATTAGTGATCACTTAAAATCTTTAGCAGAAAACTTTAGCAAAAGAACTCAGGAATAATGACTTTGCTAACTCAGAAGAATAGAACTGCCCAGGTTATTATAAATTATTGGTTACCTGAGTACTCAAGTGACACTTAACACAAACTAAAAGAAAAGTACAATCTCCAATAGATACAGAAGTAGATGAATAAATATACATCCTAAAAAGGTATTTGGAACCAAAATTACCTGTAACCAAGTACCAGCAGCAGCAAGTGAAGAGAGCAACCCAGTGAACATAAGAGTATCTTTCCCCTGAAAGGCATCAGCAACAAGAAGACCCTTCTGCATTGTGTTGGTGACATTAGTCCCCATCAAAAATGCTCCTGAAAACTCCAGCACTGCTGCTGTCAACACTGCTTGCCTCAGTGTCAAGGCACCAGAACCCACAGAAGTTCCCATGGCATTTGCAACATCATTGGCGCCAATGTTCCAAGCCATGTAGAACCCAAATAGCAAAGTACCATAAGATAACAACTTAGTCTTTAAGGCCAAACCCTGCCCCAATGAAGTCATGAAGAATGGAAAAACTAGAGCAGCGAATGTAATGCATATTGATATAGCAGAAGCAGTTCTTGGAGATATGTTGAAGGCTTGTGCAATCCCAGGCAAGTGATCATTATCTTTCTCAGTCTGTACTGCATGTTGCTGTTGTTGGTTATGTACATTGTGTTGGATACCCTCTTTCTGTTGTTCTTCACCTCCAGATTCTGCAAAGGATGATATAGAGGCAAAAGGGTGCGATAGTTTGGAGTTCTTTATCATCAAAATTGCAGAAGAAGGCTTCGGCAGTGGTGGTGGTGAAAGGGAACAAGGCTTGACATGGTGAGCCTCACTTAGAAAGAAAGGACAAGTGTTTTTGGTGATGAAAATGTGATAATTTCCAATATAGAACAACCCTTTTGGAAGAGAAGCTGTGTGTTTGGTTGAAAAAAAGTGAGTAGAGGGATTCATGTCTTGTGGAAGAATTGAAAAGGAGAGAAGGGTGTTGTATTATGGAATATATATGTGATTATTACTATTATATCCAGGAAGATTTTTGGCCTTGAGATTATGGAGAAGAAGAAGGTAGAAGAAGGGTAGTAAAAGAAGAGAAAGTGATAGGAGAATGTGCATTTCATTGAGTTGTTTTGGTGGATGGGAATGAGTGGTTGTAAGTTTTCTTCAGGACTTGTTTTCCTCACGAACCATGCATTCATTGCATATACCAACGTTGTATTCAGAAATATTGAACTGGAGTTTAGAAAAAAGAAATCCAACACAAGTTATCCACTTATCCACAGATAATAAAATCTTATTCACATGTGCCGCCTTTATCACTACATTGTACTTCATGTTTCATGTCTTTGTCTTGTGTTTTGTGATATATTTAGGGATGAGTTGAATCTTATTCAAATCCTCGGGTCTAGTAGTCATTGAATTTGTTGACATGTAGTATAAAAAATTAAGTGTCTGGATTTTTATTTCTTTTTAAATAAATAATATAAGAAATTAAAAAAAAAATATTTGTCCGCATGATCCCTTACTAAACCATCTAATACTTAAAGAATTCTAATTTAGGGATTATCTTGTAATAATTTCTAGTTTTTTATAAGCTAGTTTATATATGCATATAAAAATAAAACATCAATGATGGATAAAAGTAGCTTTATTTCGGGTAAGAAAAAGGATAGAATTTGAAATAATGATATTTATAAGCTTTTGATTTATTTAATTTAAAAATAATAATAAACAAAACTAATAAGTTGGTAATGATTACTAATACGTAATTTATGTTGATTATAATTTATTAGATAAGTAGAAACCAAAATCAGTGAT